AGAAGGGTGGATTTGTTTACATTATATATGTATATTTACAGTTTATTTCTAAAGTACTGTACAGTGTACTTAAAAGTATTTCTCAGGGTGTGAAATCAAATGGCCACTAGGGGCAGTATAGAGTTGTTTTCAGAGTCTCTTTATTGCCACCCACTGGTGTATATTTTTGCTATCCAAATAACTGTATTCTACCTATTTTTTGCAATTTGACAATAAATCTACAAAATATAGAGAGGCCCCTAGGGTAGACAGAGATCAAGTATCCTCAAAAGATCATCCTTAAGGCCTTTTTTCAAATTTAATACTCCATTTAATTTATACTTCCCCTTCTGCTTAAATTAAATTCAGTTGCATTTGCCACTGGGTCTGTTCATTGCCATGGGTGGACCTTGTCCTCGTAATTATGAGAAAAAGGTGGGGAAACTGGTTTTAACTCTGTGAGTGAGATGGGTGTGCAAATCTTGAGTACACACTGTCTCCCAGTAGATAAAGGGAGAACAAGGTACAATTAAGAAGACAGATAGCAGTTCGATCAATCAATCAATCAATAAGGAAGCCAGACACAAACTTTACCCATGAAATTATGCGACTGGCAGATAGGCAGGTAGATATATAGGTAGATAAATAGATAGGTAGAGAAGTAGATTGGTAGACAGGCAAGCAGATAAGTAGGTAGGTAGGTAGGTAGGTAGGTAGGTAGGTAGGTAGGTAGCTGGCTGAGGAATTCTGGGAGTTGAAGTCCACCCATCTTAAACTTGGCAAACTGCTCTAAACTGTTGGCCTGTGGTTTGCGTGTGGGACCTTAAACATGTACATGGCCAGCCAAGCGTGCTATTCAAATATTACATCTTGGGCTTCGCGCAATGTTGAAAGAAAGAGGAAGAAAAACCTGCACACTTTCCTCAAAGTGGGACATAATATATGCAGCTGGAAATGCCATTTCCCCACCACCACCACCACACACACACATCTAGATTCTTTGGAATTAAATCTGTGCTCCTCAGAGTTTTACCTCCTTGCTTGCTGATCTCAAGCACAAGGGTTTGATTACTTTCTGCGTGGTGTGATTAGAGTCCCATTCCCTCCAGAGATAGCAGATGGACGGAATGGGTTTAAGAAGTAGATGCCCCTGTCTGGGGAAGCCAGGGGGATTTGCAAGTTACCAAGTCAGTAATTTAAGTTTCCCATAAAAGGATAATGCTATAGGTTTGGGCTTCTCTCTCCCCACTCCCGCCGGCCTCTCCCCCCCCCCCCGCGGCTCCATCTTCTTTCTTTCTATCATTTTATTTGTGCGGTTTATAATTTCTTTTTTACTCTCTTCCCCTCTGCTGTCGATGTTTTTTTTTGGGGGGGAGAGAGAAATAAATGTTCCTCCATTTGCCCCTGGTTCTCTATTTTGTTCTCTATTCAGAGAATTCTTTTTTAGCCCTTAATTTTCTTTCTAAACAGGTTATTAGGATGGGGAAGGAGGGAGGGAGGGAGGGAAGGAGGGGGAAGGAATAACAAGAGGGAGGGAGGAAGAAGGGAAGAAAGTGTGGTCATAAGTGTGAAAAACGGTCATAATTTTTTTCCAGTGCTGCTGCTATAAGCTGAGGACTCCCTGTAATTTTATTATTCAACTGAATGTGACGACGGATTTACTATTTAATTTAATGCACCTATTATTTCATTTCACACCCTTATTTAATTTAATGCAATTATGATTTGGTTTGGGTTTTTTTCAACCTCGCCATCTTCAGCACCTTCCCACCACATAGTTAAATAGAGGTGGGGGAGAAATATATAACGTAGAATTAAAGCCCTGGAAATCACAATAATCTTCTCTTCCACCACCACCCCCAGGAAAAAAAGATGGATACTTTTCATTCCTAGCCATAAGCAGAATCAGTTAAAATATAACCCTGAGACCTGTTGTGAGTTTCCCCTTGCAATTCTCATTAACTGGGCCATTGGTTTCAATGGTTTAAAATAAAAACAAAGCAGAAAAACCAAAAGAACCGTGGAAATAAATTGCATTGATCCAGGATAGAAGGAGAAGAAAGGCAGGGATTGGAATGAACTGGGGGAGTAAGAAGTAAACCGGTTCTACTTGAACTCGTGTCTTCTCCTTCCCAGAATCCTTTATGTTTTCCATTCTTTGGGCTACTCTGAATAGAGTAGAGTAGAGTAAATAGAACAGAACAGAACAGAACAGAACAGAATAGAACGACAGAGTTGGAAGGGACCTTGGAGGTCATTTAGTCCAACCCCCTGCTCAGGCAGGAAACCCTATACCATTTCAGACAAATGGCTGTCCAGTCTCTTCTTAAAAACTTCTTGTAAAGTTCTCCTTTTTCCATAAGACTGTTGATGCCTTCGTCCAGACATCAACCGTTATAATGGGTATCTCGGTATTCAGCATGATTTGGTTCTGGAGGGTGTGTGGTTTTGTGTGCTGCCTGCATCCCACGGATGGTGCTTTGCTTGTTTGTGCGGACTGGTTGCTGGCATGCCATGGCCTAGTACTGGTCCACAGACCAGGGGTTGGGGACCCTGGACCTGCAAGGTCCCTCCCGACAATGTTTTTCTGTTATTAACATTGGGAGTAGCATCCTGTATCATCTTTCCAACCTCTCAAGTTGCCTTCCTCTGCTAGCAGTTCCCCTGAAGAACTATTGTGTGTGACATCACTGCTCTAGAAGCTTTTCCTTCCCAGCATTCTAAGCGGCCTCCAATCCAGGCCGTTTCTCCAGGTGAGCAAGCCACAGTCCACGGAATGTCCGATCCCAGATTTTTAGATATCCCGGCGGTCATCTTTGACAACGGATCTGGATTATGCAAGGCTGGCATTGCTGGAGACAGCGCTCCGAGGTCAGTCATTACGGCAATTGTGGGCCGCTCAAAAGCCAAAGCAACCATGCTCGGAGCGGGCCAAAAGGAATATTACATCGGAGAAGAAGCTCAGTCCAAACGGGGTGTTTTATCCTTGAATTATCCCATCGATCACGGCATTGTGACCTCCTGGGATGACATGGAGCGTATCTGGAGGCATGTTTATGAGTGTGAGTTGCGGATCAAGTCGAGCGAGAGGCCCGTGTTGCTGACTGAAGCTCCTCTGAATCCTCTACAGAACCGGGAGAGAATGACTCAGATCATGTTCGAGAACTTCAAGGTCCCAGCAATGTATGTGGCGGTCCAAGCCACACTGGCCCTCTACGCATCAGCACGTACCACCGGTATAGTCATGGACAGTGGAGATGGGGTCACCCACACGGTTCCTATCTATGAAGGGTACTGCTTACCCCATGCCGTCTCCAGGTTAGATGTCGCCGGACGGGATATCACGGAATACTTTATGAGGCTTCTTCTAGAGAGCGGGCATTCCTTCGTCAGCACAGCCGAAAGAGAAATTGTGAAGGACATCAAGGAGAAGCTGTGTTATGTAGCATTAGACCCCGTCCAAGAAATGAAAACTAAACCAGAGTACCTTCTCCGGGAGTACAAATTACCCGATGGAAACGTCATCCACATTGGGAGTCAACTCTTCCGAGCTCCTGAAGCCCTCTTTGCCCCCACCTACATCGGCATCGACGCACCCGGCGTCCATCGGATGATCTTCAACAGCATCATGAAATGCGACATTGATGTCCGACGAGATCTTTACGGCAACGTTCTCCTTTCGGGCGGATCGACCTTGTTCTGCGGGCTGGATGAGCGCATCTTGCAAGAGATGCAACTTCAGGTTCCTCTCGGGATATCGGTCAGGATCATCGCTCCTCCGGAAAGGAAATATTGCGTGTGGATCGGGGCCTCCATATTGACTTGTTTAACGGCATTCAGACAGATGTGGGTCACCTTGAACGATTACCAAGAATTTGGACCTGGTGTGGTGCACCGGAAATGTTTCTAGGAATGATCATCTCCCTTTGTAGAGGGGTTAGAACAGTGGAAGTTCAAACAATTAGAGGGACGTGGGACGTTCATGGAAAATACCTAATTCTTTGAACTTCTGCTGTGTCCATCCCAAGACAGATTTCTCATATGTGTGTAATTTATATGTATATATGAAATCTGTCTTCGGATGTATTGACTGGCTGGAATTTTCAGTAAATAAATGACGGAGTGATGGGCGTAAGGATCATGGTGCCATTTCTTCCTTGTCTTTTGTTCTTCAGGAGCCCTATTTTGCTTTCCTTGCTTAATAAAGACATATGATGGACTTATTTCCTGTGGCAATTGAAAATGCTGAGATGGGGAGGGCCAAAGAGACAAAACAGGTTAGAGGTATGTGTTGATAAATTATGCTCCTGAAAATAAACAAGGATTGGGCAGAAAAACGGCCATGTTAATTACCAAATCAATCCAAGACAAAAAAAAAAAGCATTTTATACAGTTTTCACTGGCTTTTCCTTCTTACAGTCAGCCTCTCTGTAAATCTAATGCTTTTCCAACCAGGTGCAATCCTCCAGATTACCAGGAGGGGGAGGGCAGCAACAAGGAAAAACACCTCTGATCTCTTGGAGGCCCTCTAGTGGTCATTCCGTTTTTTGGGTAATTTTTATTGTAAGCAGAGAAGGGTAGAAGGACTCATGCTTGAGGAAGGGGATGGACTAGAAGACCTCCAAGGGCCCTTCCAACCCTATTGTTCTATATTCTTCTGAAATTGCAGGATGGCAGGTTAAGGGACCATGAATGAAGACTTCCAGGCAGTGTGGAAAATGGTTCCTCTGGAAATGTTTCCATATCCAAGCGCTTTTTTCAGGAGCAACCAGAGAAGTTGTAGAGAAAAATGTAAAACAGGAAACACCAACCCACACCAGCAAAACAACAACAACAACAACCCACCATTTGATGCCTCCAGCAATAGATCAAACACACCTCCAAAAGGAACAGGGAAGAATCATGCAATCATAGAGTAGGAGGGATTCTTGTCATCATTGGACCAGAAGTAGTTTTTATTTTAAATATCTGAAGACCATCTCTGGGCAAGATAATGGATCTTGACCAAGAGAAGAGTTGAAGTCATCTTTGTCTCCATCAAAGTAACTTTGAAGGCCCTCTTGAATTTTCTGGTCTCATCCTAAATATCTGAAGACCATTTTGGGGCAAGCTAGTGGATCTTGACCAAGAGAAGAGTTGAAACCATCTTTGTTTCCATCAAAATAGCTTTGAAGGCCCTCTTGAACTTTCTGGTCTCCTAGAGACAACTGAACAATGGTTAGGCAGGACTTCATTCATTGTGAAGTCATGGTATGGACCATTTTTCCATTTTTTTCTCAAATCAGAGAGACCCTGATAAAGTGCAGAGAAACCAGAAGTGTTTTTATTCCCAGGGAACTCTCAAAGATACTCCTTTGGGTCTGCCACACCATGCCTATGGTCAGGTGCTGAACAGGTAGACGTTCTCCTGAAATGGGCCGTGAAGGTTTTGCATCTAAGGCTCGAATCTCCAGCTCGCAAGCCGTGATCATTGACAATGGCTCTGGAATGTGCAAATCCGGGATTTCTGGAGAAATTAGCCCGCGGCACGTCATGGCCACTGTCCTCGGTTGCCCCAGAAGCAAGTTGCCTCTTTCCAAGGCTAAGCAGAAAGAATGCTACGTGGGATTTGAAGCCCAGCATAGACAAGATGTCCTCTCATTGACGTACCCCATGGAAGCGGGCGTTATCACTTCCTGGGATGAGATGGAGACCATCTGGAAGTATATCTATGACAAAGGGTTGGGGGTGAAGGCGTTTGAGAGACCTCTGCTGATGACAGAATCTCCCCTGAACCCAAAAGAGGACCGAGCCAAGCTCACCCAGCTGATGTTTGAATATTTTAAGGTCCCGGCTTTCTACCTCTCCATCCAGGCCATCCTCTCCCTCTACGCTTCCGCCCGTTACACGGGGATGGTCATCGATTGTGGGTTTGGAGTCAGCCATGCCGTCCCAGTGTACGAGGGATACTGTTTGCCCCACGCGGTCACCCAGCTGGGCCTCGGGGGCCGAGACATCACACAGTTCCTGAGGGAACTTCTTCTGGAAAACAGGCAATATTTCTGGAACTTCCCGGAAGCCAACACCGTGGTGGAAGACATCAAGGTCAAGTTGTGTTTTGTGACTCTTGATGCTCGCCACCGAGAAACCAAGTCCTCCGAAGAGCTCCCCAAAGAATACAAGCTTCCTGACGGCAACAGGGTCAAAATTGGGGACCCCCTTTACCTGGCTCCGGAGATCCTTTTCACCCCGAGCAATGTCAACCACAAGGGTCAAGGTCTCCACAAGCTGGTGGCCCACAGCATCAGGAAATGTGACCCCACGCTCCGTAACGTGCTTTATTCCAATGTACTGATTTCTGGAGGGTCCTCCCTTTTTCCAGGATTAGACGAACGGATGTTCAAAGGCTTGGAAGGGGAAGCCCCCCAGGGGGTCCCCATTAAGGTCATTGCTCCGCCAGACCGATGGTTCTCGGCCTGGATCGGGGCGTCCATCATCACGTCCTTGAGCACCTTCAAGCAGATGTGGGTGACCGCTGCCGACTACCGAGAATACGGGCCGAATATTGTCCACCGACGGTGCTATTGAAGAGGGGACAAGAAGATGTCTCACGTTCTGGCTATAAAAAGCTACAGCAGCATCGGTCAGAGAGCAGAAAGCGATTAAAACAAAACAGAAGCTTTCACCTTTCCCCCAAAAGGTTAAATAAATAATTGATTTTAAGGCCCGAGAAACTACCAGATTTAATGTATTTCCTGCCTAGATACCTGAAGTGCTAGAGGTGATTCTCGACCGACAACGGTTCATTTAGTGACCATTCTAAGTTACAACAGCACTGGGACGAGTCGCTTACATTTTTCACGCTTGCGACCGTCTCAGCGTCCCCCGTGGTCACGTGATCAAAATCCAGCCGCTTGGCAACTGACTCACATTAATGACGGTCGCAGTGTCCCAGGGTCATGCGATCCCCCTTTTGCGATTTCTGACAAGCAAAGGGGGAAGCAAGATTCACTTAACAACCATGTATCTCACTTAACAACCGTAGGGATTCAAGGTAACAACGGTGACCAGGAAGGTCGTATAAGGGGGCAAAAGCTCCCTTAACAACTGTCTCCCTCAGCTCCAAAAAAAATTGGGCTCTGTTGTGATCATAAGTGGAGAAGTCTTGGCCTTTCCTTAATGTGGACCCTTGTCTCCCGGTGGCTGCATTCATACAATCCCACCAAACTAGGTTAGTTAAAGGCTTAGCCATTCCGTTCACATGCCAAGCTCCCTGAGCTAAACCTCAGTTGAATCTTTTCGGTTTTGTAGCTTAGTGTCTTGTGTGAACTTTGCCTGTTGGCCTAGTTCAGGGGTAGGCAACCTTGGCTCTTTTATGACTTGTGGACTTCAACTCCCAGAATTCCTGAGCCAGCCTAGCTCAGCTTGGAAACCTCTCCCTTTCCCCTCAGCATGGCTGGCTCAGGAATTCTGGGAGTTGAAGTCTACGAGTCATAAAAGAGCCAAGGTTGCCTACCCCTGGCCTAGTTTCTCTGCCTTGCGCAAATCTAGACTATGGTTAATTCAACAATCAGGGTGTGTCAAACGAGCCAAGGAGTCTTAAATCCACCGGAGGATGAAAAAAACCATGGTTTACCAACTGGAAGGTAAACTCTGTCAGACGTTACTGCAATCTCTTAGCTAGACTACTGCAATTAGCCTTACATTAACCCAGGTGGCCACCAATATAGGCTAATCTTATCACTTCCATTGTTCTCTTTTGAGGTCACTGGGCTTTTCTGATGTCAACCTCAAGCTGGTCTCCATTGGCTGACCACTGAAGATCAAAATAAAAGCCTATTAAACATCGGCCAAATTCAATGGAGAAGATCAGAATCCAGTTTAACACCCCAGATGAGCAATTGTGAATAAAATTGAAACCGCAGAGCTCGTTTCTAGGATCGGAGGATAGGAAACATCATGGTCCTTAACTTCCTGAGTTACCTGAAGCATCTTTTTTTGAGCTGGCTTCAGAAAGACAACTGGTAATAATAATAATAATAATAATAATAACAACCTCTCAATTTCCACTGTGGATGCTTGCAATCTCTCCAAGACAAGTCCTGGCTATTTGGAGAAGACTTTGTTTCCAGAAATATATGTCATATGTCCATAATGTGAGAAGCTGGTTTTGAAAAAGGAGAATCCCTTTTGTGATACCCAAGGATCTAGAACCTAGACGGACACAACATTCTGTTCTACTAGAGCTAGGAAAACAATTGTTACAAATTCAGTTCTTTGGATTGAAGATGTCTCAGTCCAGAATAGCTGTCATTATTGACAATGGCTCAGGACTTTGCAAAGCGGGCTTTTCTGGAGAAGAGGCCCCCAGGACCACGGTGGCTACAGTTGTTGGCTACCCCAAGACCCGCGCGGTCATGTTTGGCCCAGTTCAGAGAATGTGTTATGTCGGTAGGGAAGCCCAAGCCAAGAGAGGTATCTTATCTTTTAAATACCCAGTGGAACACGGAATTGTGACCTCTTGGGATGATATGGAGAAGATCTGGAGATACATCTACAGGCATGGACTTAGGGTAAGAGCCAGGGAGAGGCCGGTGTTGTTGACCGAAGCACCCATGAACCCAGCAGCAAACAGAGAGAAGATGACAGAGATCATGTTTGAGCATTTCCAGGTGCCGGCCATGTTTGTAGGCCTTCAAGCTCTGATGGCCTTGTACGCTTCTGCCCGTACAACAGGTTTGGTTTTAGATAGCGGCGCTGGGGTCACTTTGACCGTCCCCATCTACAAAGGCCACTGCTTGCTACATGCCATCTCCAGGGTGAATTTCGCCGGGCGCGACATCACCCGATATCTGGCAACGCTTCTGTTGGAGAGCGGGCACAACTTCTTGAGTTCTGCAGAGAAGGAGATTGTGAAGAACATCAAGGAGAATCTGTGCTACGTGGCTCTGGATTCGAGTCAGCAGAAGGACAAAGGGCCTGTTCGCGAATACACACTTCCTGATGGCACACCTGTGGAGATTGGGGATCAGCTTTTCCGAGCTCCGGAATCCCTGTTTAATCCAGCGGATGCTGGAGTCACGGCACCGGGGATTCACCAGATGATGGCCGAGAGCATCTCCAAATGTGATGGCAGCATCCACCAGGACCTCTGGAGAAGCCTCATCATAGCTGGAGGATCGACCCTCTTTCCGGGCCTTAGTGAACGTCTCCTCAAAGAGCTACGAAGCCTGGGCCCTCACGGCCTGCCGACCAAGCTGGAAGCCCCAGCCGACCGGATCCATTCTGTCTGGATTGGCGCATCGGTGCTCACCAGCTTGCCTTCTTTTAAGAACATGTGGGTCACACAGCAAGAATACAGAGAGGTTGGCTCTACCGTGCTGCAGAAGAAATGCTTCTGAGAAGAATAAATGGGCCAATTATAAAGGCCCCCACCCTCCGAAAAAATTGATTGGAGATGCTGGCAAGGGGCTAGTAAATCTTTCCACAAACAAATCCATGTCTCGTCATTTTTAGAGCACGGCCACAAAAATTCCCTTATGGGTGAGGCAAAGAAACAGGCCTTGGCCGTCTTTTGAGGACCCCCGAAGTTGTTTTTACGTGTATTGTGGGAGGGGGAGAGTTGAGGTCAATAGGAGGGTGAAGCTGTTTGTTTGCCCCAAGGTTCAGTGCTGGAGTTTGCCATGAGAGTTTTACTTTGAGACCTGTAGATTTTTTGCCACTTGCCCTAAATAGTTGGAAGACATACAAAAATAACCCTGTATTGGTGGATGGGTGGTTTGGATGATCTATGATAGGTAGATAGATAGATAGATAGGTAGGTAGGTAGGTAGGTAGGTAGGTAGGTAGGTAGATAGATAGATAGATAGATAGATAGATAGATAGATAGATAGATGATAAAGGGGGGGAGGGATGGAGGGAGGAAGGGAAGGAAGGAAGGGAGGGGCAGAGGAAGGAAGGAAGGAAGGAAAGCAGAGAGGGAGGGAGAAAGGAATGAATGAATGAAGGTGGAAGGGAAGGAAATGAAAAGGAAGGAAAGAAGGACAAAGAAGTAAGGAAAAATGAATGGGAAGGAAGGAAAAAGAAAGGAAAACAAAGGAAGGCAAAATGAGAATGGAGGAAGGAAATTGAATGAAGGAAGGAAGATGAAAGAAGGAAGGAAAAACATGGGAAAGAAGGAAAAGAAAATGAGGAAGGAAGAATGAGAGTGAAGGAAGAAAGGAAGGAAAAATTAAAGAGAAGGAAGGATGGAAGGAAGGAATGTAAAAAGCATGCAAGAAACAAGAAATGAAAGGAGGGAGGGAGGAAAGAAGGAAGCAAGTTAGACTTTCTGGGTGTAAAGTTCCAGCTGGATCTACTCCAGGGTAGAGCAAAATCTGCAGAAGCTATAAACAGCTTCCCAATTCGAAAGTTCCAGATTTACCTTGGAGAAAAATGCCAGATTTTTTTTTTTTTGTGTGTGTGTGTGTGTGAAATCTGACACATGTCAACTCCATAATGAACCCACAGCTGCAAAGCAGAAGGGATCAAAGTGGGCAAAGTGACATGTGACAAAGTGACATTTTCTATATTGTTTCATTTCTGTGTTGTCTTTATTTTTTGCTACACCGTTCCTTCCCATGGCTGGAATACACTAGCAGAGGTAACAAATATTGCAACCAAATAAATCATCAGTGCACATTTACAGAGCTGTTAAGAATCTGATTCAGCTGCCATTCCTCTTGGTCTTTTATTATTATTATTTATTTTGTTTTTCTGGCAGCCTGGTGAAAACCTGTAAACAAATGAGATACAACTGTAGCTTGTGTAAGTATTTTACAGCTCGCTGACTTCCATATGTGTGTTCCATACAGGAACACAAAGGGCTTGACTCCTGCACCAATCGTTTAATGGGGGGAGACAAACACAAAACACACCGCCTGGGAAATTGGACCCAATTGTGGAATTTTGCACAGAAATCACGGCTAATGCAGACAAGAAGGAGGCAGTTCTCTTGATTTTGCACAGGGGGAAAAGTAAATCAACTGCAGATCCTCCTCTTTTCGTTTTTTAAAAGTCGTTTTTATTTTACGCGGCCTGCTAAAGCTGGGGTTCAGCCAGATTTAGAAACTAAACACACCCAGACCTGTGTAAGGAGTTTGTTAAGCTGTTTTGTTGAGCTTTAGTACAGCCAATCCCCCCAAATAACTTTTATTAATTGGTAATAATCTGGTTTTTGAACCACCAATGTGCATAAAAGTCTATGTGGGTGTAAGCAAATTGACATCCATGGTGTCATTTGCAGCAAGTAGCGTCCATTTGCACAAAGGACATAAACGTTTGTGTTGTATATGTGCATGTATGTGGTTATATGATTAATCTTTTGTCATGCTTATGTATTGTATATTGGAGATATTTACCCTTTGAGAGCTGAATGCAACAAAATTTCATTTTAATGTATACTGATTAGTGTACATTTAAGGTGACAATAAAGGTATTCTATTCTATTCTATTCTATTCTATTCTATTCTATTCTATTCTATTCTATTCTATTCTATTCTATTCTATTCTAGGCACACGACAGGCGATTTACGCAAATTACGTACTTCTACGCCAATGGTGTAAATGTAAAAGCTGAGGTACTTTTTTACTCCAATAATGTCCATTGGGCAAGGAGATAAAGATATGTACCTGAGGTATCTTTTACGCAAACGACTTCCATTTACACAAATGACGTAGCTGAGGCAGACCTGCGGCCTAAAATGGCCTCCATTGGCCTTTAACAGATACTGGGCCCCAAAGGGCACTCCGTTTTCTCCCACTAGCCCAGAAAATCAAGATTTTCCTATTTTATTAGAAAAAGGGAGGCCTCTAGGACTTGAAGAGAGGAATTGTCCTCACTTCTGGAACTGAGGCCTTTTCGGGCCTAGTCACAGCTCGGACACTTTCAAGCCTGGGGACTTCAACTCCCAGAATCCTCCTCCATGGCCATGCTGGGTGTGGAATTGTGGGAGTTGAAGTCCACATACATCTGGAAAATGGCTTTGGTGGAGAAGGCCTGCTCTGGAGGGCAACTGTGAGGGGGAAAGGGATCTGCTTCCATCCCAGCTGGGTGGAGGGTGCCCAGCTTCGCCGGCCATTCAGATGAGACCTCAAACCCAGAGTCAAGAAGCTTCTCTTGGAAAATGGGAGTCAAATCCTCCAGGGGACAAAACTCACCTGGTTTTCCGAAGGTGCTTCCAAGATGGGGCCCAAACAGAGCCATTTTGGCCTCCTGGAGGCTTTGTCTGTGTGTGTGTGTGTCTGTGAAACTGAAGGCCTCAGGGCGGTTCACAGGACACATTTGTGGACCTTGTTTGCAACCCAAACCATAAACAAACCTGGTTGGCTTCAATTGGACAGGTTAAAAAAAGGTAGGGCTTGGAAGGACCGCCCCCCCTTCCCACACAGCTGGACAAATCCCATAATAAAGGGGCAGCCAGATTCAGACAAACTTGGGGGGGGGGTTTGCAGAAATTAAGCCACGAATTGGAGGCTTTCAAAAATAGACTGGACAATCATTTAACCAGGATAAATCTCCTGCCTTGAGCAGAGGGTTGGACTAGAAGACCTCTGAGGTCCTTTCCAGCCTTATGATTCTATTTCCATGAATCTGGGTTTAATTCAAGGACAGTGACCTGAAGGAAAAAGCCCAGGAATTGCTGCACTGATGTTTAGCTGGCCTGTGAACATCTGCAGAGCGCCAGAGACAATGTGGACTCGACTCCAGGGACAGAACAAGGAGCAGATCCTGGAAGGACGAGGCCTCCCCTTGGAATCAGAGGTAGTTTATTTATTCCTTTATTAATTCATCCGTTCGATTTATACATCCACCCATCGCAGGTTCTGGCCTTGGGGCGGCTTAACAATTAAAACTCTGTTTATTCCTGATTTTTATCAAACAGCAGCTCACACACCTGGCCATTTAATGCTCAGCTTCGTGTCCCGGAAATAGCTGCAGTCCATCTCATAAACATTTGGCTGCAGGGATGACGGCTCCCAATCAATCAATTAATCAATACTTATTATAGCCATAAACCAACGTAAGAGGCTGGGGTTTTTGTTTTTAGGAAGAAACATAAAAATGTAATGGGCAGGAAACGGCGTGTAATAGCCACATGAATTGCTAAACATACACATAAAATGCATCTACATTTACAAGACAGAGGGCATAAAAGGCACCAGCGGTGAGAATATAAAGTATAAAAAACTAAATATATAAGGGAAAGGGTAAAAGGCACACAAAGGCCGAACCTAAAAAGGCTTGGATAAAACTGGTGTATACGGTCTCTGTCCTGCAATGTTTCTTCCCTAACGACAGCCCTGTGGGGTAGGGCAAAGGGAGAAAGCAGTGGGTTCAAAGTCAGCCAGTGAGCTGACATTTGAAAACTCTGTGCACGCTATGTCTAATACGACAAATTTCACAAGGGGTGTTGCAGTGTGGTGGATTTTAAAAGAGACCAATTCCTACTTCAGCCTTGGCCAGGGTAAGTTAATTATTTATTATTTGACTGTGTATGGTGATATGTTGCCACTAGTATGTTATGCGTGCTTTAAAATTGCTTTTGATTACGCTGTATTGTAGCGATGGGATTTTACGTTTGATTTTTTTTTTAAAAAAAAAAAGAGTTAACTTTCATTGCTTCGCCCGCTCGATGCTTCAAGAAAGACCAAAAGAGGATTTTAAGATCAAGAGAGTTTCTTTTTTTAAAGCAACTAATAACCATTTCGTTTATTAAAAAACAAAACACCAAAAACTGGGTTCTTACAGGCCATTTGATTCCATCCCTGCTACATTACTCCACAGATTATAAAGATCTGTTTCCAACTGCAAATAAGGAGCCTGTTAGGTTTAAGGCATTTAAAAACAGCCACATGGGTGATTTCACTCAATTACTTTGGAGAAACTTCCCCGTTCACTCTATTTAACTTTACGGTTTGGGGAAATTGAATTCTTTGTCTCACTTCCTCTGACAAGACAAGCAAGAATGATGTTGATTGGGAAACATTTTTGAGGCTCCCGGTGGCTGAAGTTATTCCTGTAAAAATTTTACATAAAACAAGGTTGTGCATGTCTGAATTGTCGCTGTTCCCAAGGACCCCCCCCCCACAACATCTGGGTTTCCTGTAGCAAGGTCACCCTCCCCAATCTCCCCTATTCCACACACTGTGCATCTTCTTTAAAATTGTCTTTGGAGACTCCCAAATGGCTTGGTACTGAGTTCTAATTGTGCCTTCTTTTGGGGAAGCGATTTGTCGTGGGAGGGAAGAGATGTCTTGGGCAGATGTGGTTTAAAGAATAAAGAAGGAAGGTGAGGAGGGAGGTGGAGGAAGAAAAGAAGGGTTGGTAAACAGAAGGGGAAGGAAGACATTAAAAATGACCCTACAAAGCAAATATGTTTCCAGTCAAGTGTGGTGTCCTTCGGAAGCTGTTATGGGAGAGGACAATAACTGGACTTTCAGGTT